GAAGTCGAGCGAGCCCCCGGACTCGGCCTGGATAGAGATCCGGGCTTTTGGGCGAATGGTTCGTGGGCGGGACAGAATTCAAATCGTCCTCGGGTGGCGCAGTGGCGATGGGCATACGACGCCCCCACAGGTCCGACGTGAGTGAAGTGGCGGCCAAGGCCATGGTTGAACATGGCAATCAACAAGTTTAGGATTTAGTGGAGCACAGAAGTGTCTATATGACCGTTGTGATCTGCTCTCCAAGCATCAAAACTTGAGGCCAAGGGGGGGGGCGAAAGCTAGCGCTCCAGAATGGGAAAGTGGAGGGCAGCGAGGTAGGAAAAAACACGGCGCTCTTTTTGGAGGCAGGGGTGAAGAGTCCTTTATATGTGGTTCTTTGCCCGGATCCTCCTGCGAGAGAAGAGAGAGAAGAGAGACGGAAAGACGAGAGACAGAGAGGAGAGAGAGAGAGAGAGGAGAGAGAGATGAGAGAGATATGAGAGAGATGAGAGAGATATGAGAGAGATGAGAAAGAGATGCGGGAGAGATGAGAGAGAGATGAGAGAGATGAGAGAGAGATGAGAGAGATGAGAGAGACAGTGAGGATGAGAGAGAGAGAGAGACAGTGAGAGTGAGAGTGAGAGTGAGAGTGAGCGAGTGCGGCCGCAAGATACGCAACGCTAACCACATGCCAAAGAGCGACGACAGGACGGAGTCGAACTTGCGAAGAGGGAGGAGGGAGGGAAGGTGGGAGGAAGACAAGGAGACAAGGAGGAGGAGAGGGGAGGTGGGGGGCTTCGACCTGAAAAATCAGGGTTTAGGATTTGCACCCGATCGAAAAGAAACCTTGCTATCGCAAGAGTAACTCCAGCTAGCTTCGCTAGCTTTCGTGATTAGGAAAGAACTCAATGACTATGACATGAACTCCGTAGAACTGGCCTCAGGTCCAGCCATTGGATACAAAAAGGAGGATGCTACATGAAAGAAACGAACAAAATAACAATACTAAACACATGATTACCCTAGCACTTCCAGTCTGGGTGCCCTGTCTGGAGACCTGTTTACGTAAGGTAAGGTGGTCTATTGGACACCCAGACAGGATGACCCTGGTAGTTGGAGGATCTGTTTTTTTTAAATTTGTTTCCACCTTGACAGGGATCTTCAGACCCCGCTCCGATTCAGACCCTGTGAAGCCGTTTTTGCATGCGGGGCTGGGTTGGGAGTGATCCAGCAACAACAGAAAGCAATTTCCCTCCAAACTGCGCAACAAATACTGGCAGGCGCTCGAACCACTCGAAGGTTTAAGAGGAATATAGGCGACAAATTAGTTCCTCAGTTAGCTCATCCCTAAAGCCCAGTCAGAATATGACGATGAACATGTTTTTTTAAATGGTTTTTCCCTAAGAATCCCTGGGCCCTCCATGGCTTCTCCACCCGACACCAACAGCAGTCCAGACCCAGCCTTCACCCTGGGTTCGGTCAAAGCATTTGTCCCGCAAACCACCGATGCCCACGACTCACGACCCGCTAGGTATCGATGTGCCGCCCAGCTGCTGTCTGCGAGCTACTGACACTCTGCGAGACCGAGCTGTGGTCTGTCCTTAAGGTCTGTCCGAGCATCGCTGGGGGTGTTCCCGGACCGGGTGCGGTTCAACGGCGAACCGGTGGACTGCGGAAAAAGGGCGCGCGCGTTCTTCAACGTGATCGTTTCGGAGCCCAGATTTTTTTGCCACTCAAGAAAGGGTCACCTTAGGGACACTCAAATGGTCACTTTGAAGAGGCTGGCTACTATTATATACTATTATAATGTGTTTATATTCTTTGAAGAGGCTGGTTCTCCTTCTCTTCCAGGACCAGGACCAAATGGGTGTCCCAATCCCACAAGTGTAGTCTTGTCGGAGACCCCAAACAAATGCTCCAGGTTTATCTTTTTCAGGTTCTTCCTGGAATTACAGAATATTGCAAAATTGCAAATGTGTGCATCCCTCGATTGAAACGATTATATAGATACCATGATTCCTTTTCCTTTTCATCTGATTCCTGCTGAATGTGCTGCTCTCTCCGAGCGCTCTGGAAACCTTCGTGCCTCACGAAGTGGATAGCTTGAGATAGAAGGGTTAAACAAAAGGTAGCTATACTAGCTAGTAGGTAAGGGTGTGTGTGTGTGTTTATGTTTATCTACTTCAATATTATCAACATGTAACAATTCCAAATTTTATAAAAGAGTACAAAACATGGTCAGAAAATTGTTCCATTGGATCGAAGCTGAGTACATCATGGTGAGATGCAAAACATGCATGAGGACAAGGTTGATTTGTTCTGGCCCCCGGCCCCACCAATGATGAAGAATTCTTTCTTAGAGCCTGCAATATCCCGGCTTCCCACTGCAATACGTGTTTTACGCAGGGAGAACTCACGCAACTGAATCATGCTTTCGTGACATGGCATGGGAAACCATGTGGAAGACCCAAGAAAACAAACAGACTCGTCTACCCAGAATCTTCAACCTGCAGTCTTTGATTCTCACACCCATGTGAGGGGAAACCTACTCCACTAAAAGTTCCACTGGCTGCTGTCAGGATGTGAAATCCCATCATCAACTACTCATGTCCTCCCTCCTTCGACCCTTTGGATGCCCTCTTCACCAGCCAAAGCACCCGCTGGTGTCCTGACGGCGCTCACGCTTTCGTTGCGGTCCCACTCCGAGACCGCCGTCCACCCCACACGACGCACGAAGCGAAAAGCGTGTTTTGAACGGAGAACGTCGCCGTCTCGTTGCCGTTTGTGGATGCCAAAGACTACCGAGATCAACCCCGGAAGGGGGATGGTTAGTTTTGACCAATCGCCACGCACGCGTCAAGCATCTTAGTCTGTGGGTGAAACATAGGATGCTTTGGTGGGCTTGTTGCGGCCACGAACAACGCAAAAGGTTCGCATCTGCTCCCACTTTTCAGGATCATCGGTTGCAATCCAGGTTTCTGGTCAACAAGTCAACAAACAATCGACCTTTTGGCCATTGGTCAAACCTCTGCAGTGTAAGCCGCACCCCAGTGGGCTTAAGACTAAGCCACACACACCTCAAATATATTCAAAAATATTTTGAGATTTGTTGGCCACACCCCAGTAGAGCCCAGCACCGAAAACCCCCCACTATGCTAGAAAGCCCGGTTTCACCCGGTGCCTCCTTCTCTCGGCCTCGGTGGCGGTCGCATGGTGTATACAACGGTCGCATCGCAGAAGCAAGGTTAGAATCCACAAACAAAGAGCATCCAACAAAGGTTGAGGGAGCTTTGTATTTCAATAAATTAAACACGGGCAGGCATACCACAATTACTTCCCTTTGCACTTGCCGACATGTCAAAGGAATTCAAAGGAACGGGGGGCATATGGGCACATGGGGCGATTTTGCAGCATAAGTGTGACAAGTCCTGATGAAGGCCTCGAATGCATACATTTCTGCAAACATTTTGAGACCAAGCAATATGGCCAACTACACATACTACTGGTTCACTTGAACCCCTCAGCTGAAAAGTGGGGTTCCTTCAAGTTCCTGTCCTCGACTTTAGATTATTCCATCAACTTCTCAGATCTTTTCAGATTCTTGCACGTCGACGGCTTTGGACGGGTTTAGATGGTTCAATGATGAGGTACACCTTGAACCCTTTTAGAGATAACCAAACGCTAAATTTTACAGTAAATCGATTCAGAGATATTTCATGTTCTAATCGAAGCAGGTGTCATGTCAGGGTTCTAGGATGTTGAAGAACATCGTCGTATCCCATCTCAAAATATATACCCATGTGGTCCTCCAGGTCTTCTTTCTTCGTCCCACTTCCTCACCTCACCTCACCCAGCGAAACCATTCGAGCGAACCGGCTGCCAGTCTAACCACTCGGCCGTCCGAACTAGGCTGGCTCTCCCAAGAATGCCTCGGAACGGACGCAGGCAGTGTCCGCGCATTCGGCGAGCCAAGCCAGGAGGCCGAGGCAGAGACAATGAGTCGGACGTGAGGAGTCGTGAGGAGTCGATCTTGGGACTGGCAGGACGGACTGCCTTCAAAACGGCCAGGGGTGGTTGACTGGGGGTCAATGTATGTAAATATGCCAGTCCCATGGAGTGTCTGCAGAATAGCAAGAAAGAATTAATCGACGGGCAATCCTAAGAATCCGGGCCCGAACCTCAATGGGAAGCGTCTGGAGGATTTTGGGAGGGTCCGGCCACATGCACACGTCAAGGACTCTTAGGGAACCATTCAGCGTCCCCGGAGGTCACGTTTAATTCGCATAGATCTGCATGGTATCAAACACATGGACGGCCCAGTGGATGCCAGTTGATCCAGAATCGGAAGCAGGGTTTCCAGGTCTGGACCACTGGAGTCCTTTCCAGGTCACCAATGATATCTTCTTCGACCTGCTTAGGGCGGCTGGTGCGCCAAGGGGAAATGAGCTTTTGGTTCGGTACGTTCGAAAGAAAGGAAAAAACATGTGAGATCATGTGATGTCACGTGAGTGTAAAATCCATTGAAGACTCTTCCTCAGAGTTTCACCTCGACATGCCTGAGCTCCAGCCTTCAATCCCCCGTCCACCCTCCGTCGGACTGTCCGCAATCTACTTAAGCCACAGCCCATCCCCAACCCTTCTGTGCGACTTCGGCCTTTTTCGGCCAATCGCGGAGGGAATCGACGGTGAGACGGTTCGGATCCCACATGGATCCCGGTGCTCAGGAAGACGCTAGAAGAGAAAAAGTCAATGTCCATGTCAACCACAACAACTACGGTCAATTCCCGTCTGAACATGACCGTCCGTTTAGACTGTCAATTCCCGTCTGTTTAGACCTCATGTTTAACCTCTCCTGGCTGCCACAGGGATCCCAGTATATCCCAACTTCGAAATCGGGCCACTGGAGAGTTCCTGATAAAGAAACTGCAGGGCAGGGAGGCATACTCTACTGGTTGGCGGTTTCAACTCACTTGAAACAAATTAGTCAGTGGGTGCAATCATCCCAAGTAGAGGTTGAAATAAGAATTCTGAAACCACCATCCAGTCGTCTAGAGTTTCGAGCCATTACAGACCGAGCGGCTCAAGGCACAGTTAGCAAAGCTCATGCTTCTGAGGGCTGCTCGAGAGCTGGCAAATCTTTTCCTTGAGACAAACTGCTTTATCTGCACCACAGGACTCGCAGTTCTGCCAAGTACCATCATGGACGCAAAAGGCCTGGTTGTTGAGATGAACCGTACAGGATGTCTGCACGGACAAGTCTGAAGCTCGCCTGATGGCGCCAAGTAATGCGTGGCGGGACATGTTCAGATGTGCACTGCACGTAAGTATAAGTATGTTAAGCGTGTTTCAATAGGACTGATTGCGGCCCTACGTTGTTTCACAAGTGTGGATAACATGTATCTGGCCTGCAAAGTTACAAGTGTTTACATGCTCTTCTTGTTTGTTTTCCCATGCAACAAACCGTGTCAAAACACAACCAACACAATGCAAGGATAAAGCAAGGAAAAACAGCATGGAACCCATAACCCGAATGCAAACATCACGCGAACACCTCCACCCCCAGACTGAGTTCAACAAGAACCCAAACCCCTACGCATTTGTGTATCACTCACATGCACACACTCATAGTTCATCCAATTGCCCCAAGTAGATGCACGGACGGAGACCTTAAGAACCAAGAGACCGGGCCGGACGGGAACCATTCGGGAAATAGGCTGTTCAACCTCTGTAGTTAGTCGTAAGCGTCACCCCTTTCTCTGTCTCAAACATCGGAGGAAAAGACCAGGGATCGCACCCTCCACCCACCTCAACTGACCGAAAATGTTCGTCACTGGTCGTCGAGTCGTCTCCCGAAAAGGAACAGAATCATCGACAAAAATGGAGGGCAGCTGGGCATCCACAGCAGTCTGACCCCCTCTGTTTCCCTGGACAATAGATTGGTTATAGTTCTATATATACTATATTCTATAATATATAACCCTTTTCCACCTGATCCTGTTTAGTCAGGTCGTGCACTGAATAGGTAGGTGTTGTAGGCTTCAATCTATGTCATAAAAGCAGATCTGACAGCAAAAGCGGGGCTTTTCGGCTCTCCTCAGCGACTTCTCTAGCAACTGCGCCCCACGCTGCTGCACACAGGCCGCTAATGTGAGGTCTAGCTGTGCAGAGGCCGCGCATGGCACGCCGTTCTCGGCGATGGCCGTTTGGTTACGGTCCTCATTTGGATGTGTCTGAGGACATAGCGGCGTAGCGAGATTGACCAAGGGCCCAAAGGGCTTCGAGTTTCTTCCAAGTTTGCAGTGAGTTTTTGGAAATAACTGTAGTGTGTGGTGCCAACAGGACCTGCAAAAGGCACCCACAAACTATTCCATCGTTGATCCATATTCATCCTTTCCCTCCAAGCCCAGCAGGCTTCCTCCCCAACTCTATATAGCTGCGTCCTGACACATGGCAAAGCGCAACAACTTCTCAGTAGAAGCAGCTTCTTGCACACAAAGCCGTTGCATGTCGCCTTCACATTCCTGGTCGGTTTCGACCGACCGACCGACCGCCGAACGAACGAACGATCTTGGACCGCGAGACGAACGCCAGCCCATCTCCGCCGATGGGCCCCGCACCAATAAGAACTTTAAGTGGCCAACGATCGATCCAAAGCAAAACTGTCCCAATCTGTCCCACATGGGTGTGTATTCGAATAGGGTGACCCCCACATCTTCAAGACCACAACCCATTGGTGGAGGGTGCCCCATTGCCATTGGTGGTCCAAACCCACCTCAGTCGGACCGACCGAGTCGAACCGACACCGACGCCGTCACCGTCTGAGTCTCCGAAGGCCCATGCATGCACTGGCTGCCCGTCGCTGCGATCGTTCCCAGGTACGTGAAGTTCACGGAGACCAACGAGGCCAAGTCTTTCAAGACGGGAAGGAAGGTCTCTTCCTACGGTGAGTGGATGGCTCGAAAATGAACATGGTTCATATCAGTCCCAGTGCATCCCAGGCAAACCACTATATAAGGAACCAGAATTCTAGGTCTATGGTTTGAGTCTTTGGAACCACTGGTTACCAGCTATAGTGGTAACTGGATGCCCTGGGAGTGTTATCACTGAAACGGCAGTCGCTCAGATCCGCTTTCCATGCAGTTTCTCTCAGCAGAATTGTTTGTGTCGCCCATTGGTCGCGGCGAATAGTGTGTTTGACAGGAAAACGCAAAACCCTAGTGATCCCAAGGTCCAAGTCAAAGACCTATATTCAAATTATGTTCAGACATTCACGCAATGATCTAAAAACACACATTTCCATGCAAAGCCGTGTGATTATGATCGTCTCTGTTGTTAAAATCTGCGGGTTGCAGATCCATCCTCACAAAAAAATACTTCAGGACTTTGGTGTAAGTTTCCAGTCCGGTTTCGGTGGCGGCATTCGTCTGACTTATTCCGTTTGACTATGGTGTGAATTGCTCCAGGCAGGAGCTGTGATTCTGGAAGGTCTCATTTTGATCCGAATTTAGGTATATTATATACGTTGTGATGTTGTAATACCATATAAGTTTTTATGTGTATGTTCTACCATGTTCTACCCCTTCGGCAGTTGACTCAGTAGAGGGAAACTGTATTATCTCGTCCGCGGAAGGACAGAAAAAACGTTTGCACACTTGATGCTGCTCCCTTCCCAAAAGCAATTTGCAAGTTCATTCAGCTGTGGGTCAATACCTAGCAATTCCAGAAGGCTGGCCTTCTTGGTGGATGATTCTGTTCTTGAGTGAATCAACCCGAGTCCCCCATGACCAAAGTGCCCAGTTCAGTTCAGCTTCGCATAGTTTGGCATCCGGACACTTGGACATCACAAAGAAGTCGACCGTCACGATCGAGGTCCTTGTGAGACCATACGAGTCAAAACAACAAGTCATCAAGGACGTCCCAGCTAAAAGTACCACCCTTGCCATTTCAACTCACAATGTACATGGGTACAGGAGTTGAATAGGAACACACCCAACCAATGGGTAGACTGGTCCATTGTCCTTTTGCCAGGGGGTCGGAACGCCTGGAAGGTCTCCCCATGTTCAAACCCGCCCACATCAACCTACCCATCCTGTCACAGATCGATTGACCGACACCCATCGATTCACCGACACAGGTCTCCAGCGTCGGAGAGCGACGCTGGAGACCTGCGACTGGCCGCATTGGTCAACGCTCATACTCCGCAGAGATTCCACCAAAGGAGGCAAACACACTGGCGAAAGAAAAACACACTTTATAAGGTTACTTGGCACTTGGAAACACATTGCCCCCAAAATCAAACACAGTCTGGAATTAGGGGCCCGCGCCCGCTGATACATTCTCTGAGTCTATGCCATGAGTTCTGCGGAGCTCTCTGCGGGGCGGGAGACTTGGACTCTCCGAGCAACGAGCTTTTGGGGGTTTGGCAGGGACTCCTCGACTCGGATGTCCCTGGAAACAGAGTCATCGAGCAGAGTTGTTCATTCCATTATACTTAGGGATCCGAAGAGAATCATCTATTTCAACTAGGGGTCTTCACTGATTTCTCGGTTCATTGGTGTCAGGGAAGTTCACACCAAAACGTCACTAGTTACTATATGTATCAAGTCCCAAGTAAACCTGTGGATTACCTATACTAGCTGTCACTATACTAGCTCGCTTCCCTCCCCCTCTTGAACAGTGAGAACATGAGACATGGCTGGGTCATGGCACTGGAGGGCCAACAGACAAGTAAGAGCCATCAGGGACGACCTGACCTGGACCCAAACCACATCAGGAACAACCAGTCTAGGCCTCCGCATGCCTCAGAATGTTAACTCGCATCTCCCGCAACAGCATTTAGACGACTTTTAGGCTGTCAAGATTCTGTGTCACCACACCTGCTTCATGGCCTGGCTTGACATCAGTGTTCAATGCGTCGTGGCTGCGCATCTGCTTCTTGTGACCAACAATGGTGCCTGCTCCTCTCCACACACATAGCAAGAGAAGCCAGCCTCTTACAGGCACCATGGCTGCTGGCTTCGCAAGTTTCAGGAAGATCCCCTAGTGTGAGACCAGTGGAACAAAACTGGTTGAGCTGGCTTTATATATAGGTTCTTCAAGTTACAATCATGAATTGCATCACCATACCTGGTTTTTCTTGAACCCAGCTGCACACAAACATCCATTCCATTCCAATGCTTTGGATCTTGCACCTGCATCACACGCGGCCTGTTAGGTGTGTGGATCGTATTCAACCGGAAAACCAAAAAGAAGCCCCCGCCCCAAGAAACTAGTTATGAAGGACCCCAGGATTTTTAGAGCGCAAACACGATCCTAAAGAGAACAATTATATATATCCTAAAAGAACAAACTGCAATCCTAAGACGAAACGACCTTCATTCACAGGCTTACGCACCCTTTGTCTTCAAACAAACACAGCAAATACCTGTCGAAGAAGCTGGCTGAACCAGCCGAAGCAGGCTGAACAACCGAGCTCCCCTCGTTCCGTCGAGGACGCCACGCATAGAGGCAATCAGCGCCCAGTCGGCAGCCCGCCTGGAGGCCCCGGGTGTCAGCTGGCAGCCAGGGTGCTTTACCTCCATGGTTTATAACTTCCACGTTTCCATTTTGGGAGACAAACTATAAAATATTACAAAATGTTTGATACATACCAGCACCTTCCAAGGGGTCACCTGGCTGGAAGCCCCTACACTACTAAGGGACCTCCATTGGACACCCCTTGAAGGTCCAGGTGCGTTTGATTATTTGATGGGATTTTCATATGTTCATTAGCATGTGTCTTCTGGAGGGTCCCTCCGAATATCAGCATGCCACCGTCAAAGCCTGGCGATCAACCACCACGACGGCACTGAACGCTCCATAACTTATGGCTATCAAGCTGGCTACATCCCATCCAACATGTTGTGGATCCTGGCAACTTAGGGTAGTCCCCCAAGTGATAAAGTTTGACTGACCCACTCGCATGTTGTTTGTGGTTTAGTAGTACTGTAGATTCTTTATAAACCAAAGAGGCTAAGGGTCTGCAAGCAAGCCTGAGGACAGTCACACTTAAACAGTGGGGCCGGATGGGGCCGGGGTAAATGTGACATGCCCAAGAATCCATCGAGCTATCTTGCTTGTTTAGACTGAGCTTAATGCAAAGCTCTTAATGCAAAGTTATCCATCTCCCAACCAAAAATACTTGTCTGCATGTCGGGCCTCAAAAATACAAGGGATTTGCTTGCAGGCTCGTCTCTTCTCCTCCTGTCAGAGGCAAAAAGCAAAACTCATCACGCGAATCAACGAGCATGCTTCTCTGCGTGCAGCCCATGCGAGCATCTGCGTGGGGGCATGGGACGCCAAGTCAATCCCCTATGAACCACCAGAATATGAACAGAATACCTCATCCTGGGATCTCAAAAGGTTCCTTTGAAGGTCCTGGGATATGTGTACTATCTGAAGAACATCTCCAACACATATACAGTATACTACTAGTCAATGCACCGTCAATGCATGTCAATGCTTCGACTGGTTTCCCCGGAACCGTGCCAGCTTCCCAAAAAACAGCAGCTCCACCCAGAAGATATGAACAAAGCGAGACGGTTGGTTTGCAGTCTCAAAGGTTCTGATGGAAAGCTTAATCATGTGTAAAATGTTCTTGTTAGGAAGACTTTGAAGGAACTCAGTGGTGTCCTGAGTCCATCAGTTTCCCTGGTATTTTTATTCAGTGGGGAAACCAACATCCAAAAAAAGTTAAAGGTGTTCCTCTGACTGGGTAGGTGTCTGTACTGTACCTGTAAATCCTCGAAAAAGGAAGCACTATTTACATTATTTTAAATTAAGGTCTAGCACAAGATCCTTTCGCCCACACACACATAACCAAATGGCTTTGTCAACTGCCCCAAACCAAGGAGCAACGTCAGCTATATATAAGAGAACATTGGGTCTATCCTATTACCAGTAACAGCGGATGATGATGGTTTGGTTGCAGGCCTTGTTCAAAAATAGTGAGTTGCTTGTTTACGGGTCCTGTTACAGGTAAGAACGGACAGACCCGAAGAGAACACATATAGTAATAGTCATAGTCATCTTTCGATGTTCCAAAATGAGGAGGTCTTTCAAGTACAGAGTTTATAGTCACGAGGAGGTCTTGCAACAAAAACATCACGTACAAAATAGCAATAGATTTACTGTCATTCAGAAAACCTCCTGGATGGTCAAACATGTCCAACTTCTATGAAACAACAGTCGCGACCGTAAAGAGCTGGAGTCTGGACCTCCATCCACACGGCAGCAAAACGCCCCTAAAACATCCTAAAACGCCTCTAAATCGCCCCTTCACACGACCCGAAGAACCGCCAGCTTGAACTCTCGAAAACCCCGGTCGAGACCGAAACGCCGAGACACCTCGCTGTGTGCGAAGTTGCAATTTCGCCGCTGACAGCGGTTCTTCAGAAAGAATTTGCACAGCAACGTCTTGTCCTCGGTGCCCATCTTGTTGGGATGATGTCAAATCACAATCGTATGCCACAAACATCGATAGACCATACAGAACTTATCAAACGAAACTGTCCCATAGGCTGGAAGGGTGCATTCAATCCGTTGATCTTGACAAGCGCAGGTCATGTGGATGCTCTTTTCCAGCTTCAGTCCTGAAGCCAACTCTGCGAATCTGGTGAATCCGGCGGAGAACAACTGCGAGGAAACACGGGACACAGCTTCAAAAAGGTTTTTCAGATGGGTTTTTCTTCATTTGATGATCATGTCATTCTTGATCCAGGACGGCTGCTCCGACCGGATGGCCAGGCGCCCCGGGCCCGAGAGGCCACGCCGCGGTGCACTGGAGGAGTCACCTGCGCGGAGGGGCCACCAGCGGGGTGGTATTGAAATACATTGGGACTGTAGGAGGGTTTGGTACGTTGAAGCACAAGAAGAGGTTTTGGACTTTGGAGGTTTGGACTAAAACATATTTGGACTATATATATGCTGATTTTGTACTTTGAAGCACAAGACATACAGGCTTGGACAAGGTTTTGGATGGCTTCGGACGGTTTTGCCCAGACACGACTAATGGGTCTGGCATATATGCCGCCCCAGAAAGACCCCCCAAACCACCCCTGGCCTGATCGGCAGTCCTATGGGAGTCCTATCCTGGATCTTCCAACGACCAAACAATTATGGTAGTTTTGGTTATTGACCCGGTTTTCTGCGCAAACACCCGCAAATCAGCGCAACCGACAAAACGACCGCAAATTAGCGCAAAACGCACGCAAAAAGCAAGCAAGCGACCACACAATTACGCAAAATAACGCAAAACAAACAAAACGACCATGACCATAACACCAAAACGACCATATTTTGTTGGTAGTTGGAAGGTCGAGGATTAGTCGTGTCTGGGTAGAGGTTTTGTAGAGACTTTCAAGTCTTAAGCAAGGACGCTCCGAACTCGGAGCATTTCGGGCATCGCAGCAGAGTTCACGCGTTCGGACGCGTTCGGAGCTTCACGGGGCGGGTCCTCCAGGCCGAGACCGGAGCGCTCGACCGGAGCATCCGACTCCGACGGAACGTCACAACGGCCGCTGCTGATTCCGACTCCCAACGGTTGGTTGGAACTTCCGCCAGCTCGGTTGGTTGGGAAAGACACCGGGTCAAGGGTCGAGGGTCACACGGTTCGAAGGAGGGAAGAACTGAGTCACTTGATTTGGGATGAGCCCTGGGCAAACTCTGGTGGTGCCAGAACATTCTTCCATTAACAGGAGTGGAATTCTCCACACATGGCAAAAAGAAGTTCACGCTACTACTCTTCCACGGTATACCTCCTATGTCCATCTATTTCCTGCTACATCTGCGTATACCATCCATCCAAACTGGTGCCACCCAGACCAGTTGCTTCTCACTATTCCTCATCCCCCGTGACCCTAAAAGCCGACCTCCGGCTCTGGGCGAGAGAGGTGGACACCTGAGACGGTGTGCTCCGCTGCGCGACGAAGGTTGGACGATGCGAAGAAGGTGAAGCGAAGAACACGTGGTTCAAAGCGCTTTTGATGAACGCTTCGTTGGGACACTCCGACCAGGGTCATCTACTCAACAAAGGCCAGCGGTGGAAGGGGTTGGTGTTTTTTTCTGTGCTCTCATGAGATGTTTAGATTATTTCCACATTGGGCATTGAGCGTCTCCCCAAACTTTTCTATGGAAAGTGTTACTGAAGTCTCATCAACTGCATGTTTCACAGTAGGTTTCAACCTTTTGGGGCTAGGCCAGGTTACAATATAATATATACCTCGTGTTATTGTTGTCGTTTGATGTTGCTTTGAATTGGTGTCCCGGTGTGCCAACATTGTGTTGTTCAGGTAGCCGTGTTGGTGGTCTCAAAGCAGTTACTGCTTCGTTCAACCCCTCAACGAAGTTCAGGGCTCCGGCCCTCGTCATGCAGAAAGTGGCAGTCCTTGGCGCGTGGATCTGAGCAATAAATGGGGGAACATGGAAAAAAACCTAGACCACGTGGAACATAGGAACATCGGATTTTTGAGCAGACAATTGTGGAACATGGACACATAGACCACGGTGTCCAACAAATCAAACTTCTGGAAAATGAACATCAAAGATCATCAAATCAACAATCTCAGGTCACAAGATCCTGAATTCCTGAAGGCAGATCAACACACAAAGACTTCCAGCAAACACAAAGACTCATAGCTCACCGAGGAGGCTGGGGCAAAGGGGCCGGGGCAAAGGGCCGCTTACTGACTCAAAACCACCGGAAGGAGAAACCACTTTCCAGTCAGGTCCATTTAACATCGAACTACCCAACTCGTCCAACTACCCTCCAAAGATTTTAAAAGTTGAGGGTAAGGGCCCAAAGGTCCAAAGTCCTACCTAGTGCAGCTGGAGTTTGCTGCTGAATATATACGATGTTGCGGCGGGGCACAAACTGAACAATCCTTTAGGACAGCCAACTCGTTGCAGTAACTCAAGCCGCGACTGGATTTTGTATGAGTGTTTCAAGAGAAGGCCACATTCTCCTCGACACCCAAACCCGAGAAAGGAACAGAAGACCAGAAGCCACATCCTCAGTA